CACCACTTAGTCAAGCAAACCATAACAATAAAACCAGTGATGTATCCTGTGTTATGCTGGTCCGGTATCTTCTCTTGGCTCCAACATGAAGAGGTTTAGATTTCGTTTTTGGAGCTTGTGTTAAACATCCTGATATACTCTTACTCATCATCAATGTTCCCTCTAAGCTGAGCAGCTGCTCCAAGGGTCTGTGCATTGTGATTGGCATTCCACGCCATGTCAAGATATTCACTTCTGGTTTCTCCAGCTGCTGTTGCACATGGACCTCCAAAATCCACCCAGTGGTTGGAGAGATTAGAGGAAAGGTAGCTCATCAGACTTTAGAGATGGCGGTGCAATATTTTAGTCAGTAAACCCTGGGAGTTTTCAGCAAAAAGTCTCATGAAAGGAGGTCAGACAGGGGCAAGGCAATCTCCTAGCGATTACTGCTTGTTTGGACATCTGTGGCCATTATCAATGCTTGGCTCAGTTCCAAACATTATTGGGTTTCAGCACAGTAACTATTCCATTCATCTGAGAAAGAATAGATGTTTCAAGAAGTTAAACAAACTGTTTGTCCTTTTGGTGTGGTTTCTGGTTTGTTGACACAAGTTTAGGATTAAAAATATTATAAGTTTCTTTTCACATGGTAGAAAGCATTTTCTCTCAGTGCTGGTAATGTGGATAGGTTTTTATTTTCCTGAGGGAAAAACACATTTTCCATTGATACTGCATGGTATTTGAGGACTGTACATAATGACTATAAGGATACAGCAGTGAGGGTTTCATGGAAGATATCTGAACACAGAGAGGTTGTATGAGGTGCAATGTGTAAACTGAGAGGTCACGTGAGGCATACAGATGGCATTGGGTAGCACAAACTTGCATTTGCAATTGAAAGAGGTAAAAGGTGAAGTTTAAGATGCTTTTAAACATTGTTGACAGCCGGGATACAATATTGGAGAACTGAGGCTGTGCTTTGAACTGGCCTGCCTCTACACCTACTCCTCATACAGACTAGCATGATTCACAACCTGCAATGTGAACACAGCCCTGATGTGACAAGCCAAAAACAGCATGAGAAGTCACACAGGGCTGAAGGGTGTGCAGTGACTGTAGCGAGATCAACCAGGGGGACCTCATAGAATATGAGTTCCTTGACTGGGGCTGTTACCCTGGTCCAATCAGAGAGCCCTGGCTGACAGATATAAACAGGAGTGTCAGAGGTTCTGTTCACTCTGAGAACTGGGTCTGAGGAAACCGGACCAGTGTCAAGTACTACGCAGGTGTAAATAAACGGTAACTTGGTAATGGATACCGGCCTCTGTGGAGTTATTTCAGTATGCAGTTTGTGAGCTACAAACGTACATAGGTCAAGTTATTCTGAGCCCAAAGGTAGATTCAGACTGAAGTTTCCTTTTGTTAACTTTAAAATCCCCTACTGAAGGAAATGAATTTAATTCAATGCTGTCACTAATCAATATATTGCATTTATGTTTTAAGCGCCCTCCTATCATTTGGCACATGTTGACATGTTAATACCTTTCTTTGTTGAAAACTTATGCCTGTGACCAGCAAGTTGGCTTTGCAGATTTTAGTAAACCATTAATAAATTCAGTTTTTGGCATTTGTTCAGGCATCTTGACTGCTATGGCTTGAGTGCACGTGATGTGGGCTGGGATGTCATTAGATTTCTAATGTGTAATAACCAATGCTGATAAAAACCATTTTCCTACATGATCCAGTTTTGTTTTTTACTGTTAAGAACAGCAGTAGACCATTCGGCCTATCGAGTCTGCTCAAACTTTCAATGAGTTCATGGCTGATCTGATAATTCTCAACTCTGTGTTCCTGCCTTATCCCCATATACCTCGATTTCCTTAAAAATCTGTCTATCTCAGTCAGTGAATATCCTTAACCACCCAACCTCAACAGCCCTGTGCAGTAACAAATTCCACAGATTCATTACCCTCTGAGAAAGGAAAGTTCCTCCATATCTCCGTCTTAAACGGAGAAGCCTTATTTTGATTTACGCCCTCTGTCCTCTCCTGTCTTGTGTCTTCTATACCAGAGAGCAATTGCAGGAGCCTCCGAGTAGCACCGCGAAACATGCTTTAAGAGCTGCACGAGGGAGAAGTATTTTATTTATCTAAATATGTTCTTTGCTTCCCTTTTCCAGGTCAAATGGCCATGCCAAGGTGGTGGAACTAAGTCTACAGATGTTCAAGAGCACCAATGACCATGAAGTATTTGGTGCTGCATCAACCACTGAGGAAATAGGTTGTCCCTTTGTACATCAGTGAGTTCAATCCAATTATGAGCTTTTAGGTGATACAGAAAAATGGAAAGTGGGACAGTGAAGGACTTATCTTAGGTAAACACGCCAAATGTCACAATCAACTGGGGGAAATCTGATAGACACAGTCTTATACAATATAATGTAATGATATATTAGTTTTCACTTGTTCTGATTTTCAGCTCCCTGAGAAGGGAGTTAGTTATACAAATGAACAAAAGTCCTTCCCTAATGGGTTTTCTAATCATATCATCTCCCTCTGTTGAGCTGAAAGCATTAAAAATGAATCAAAAACATTTAAGAGAGTTCTGGAAGTGAGGGAGGCATCCAGGCAGAAAGCTGCAATCTAGTAAATCATGTTAATTCCTGAGGGCCTGATCCATCATATGTGACTCCATCCAAATGAGGCTCAAAGATTTGCAAATTTTGTTGTCAAGTTGGGCAGAATCATAAAATGTGCTTGCCACTTGCTGGGTGAAGCTGTCTGCTCTGGATGTGGCAGGGTGGGAAGGAAGGCCCATTATTTACATTCCCAACTATTTGCAGATTGAGGCACTGATATGGCCAATTAAAGACCGTTCGGCCAGCCACGGATAGTATTAGCCAGGTGGGCCAGCTGCTGCGTAGCACGCCTGGAAGCAAGAACAGGAGGATGCTTGTGGGAAGAGGGTAGTGTGTTGCAGGGGCTCAAGCAAAGGCCATGAGCTCTGAAAGCCAATTGCCTGCGCTTTCTGCTGACCACTTTCCTCCCTTCTCCATTGCAGCCCCAACCCTACGAACTGTGTCCCATACTTACCTTACTCCAGGATCCTGGCACTTCAGGCTTGCTCCTCCAGCAACCATGCACTGGGACAGCTTATCTTTGATTGGCATCTTGTGGCAGGGGTATCTTTTACCCACAGGGACCTAATTCCTGAGGACGTTCCTCCAAACTGCCTGATTGGCAGAAGATGAAGTGAGGCAGTGGGAGTGTCTTGCCAGCTATATGACTGGGACTAATTCCAGAAACCCAGCTCCTAAAAACCAAACTTAACTCAGTCACTGAAGAACCTAATTTCATGTGGAAGGAGTTGTGAAGGATGGTCCCTTTAACAGATAAAATCCTGGCTGTCCTTGCGTAATTTGTGAAAAATATAAATTTGACTTATTCTGATATTATAAACCAATGGGCTTGTTTGTGGTTCCATCTCAACCACAAAATGCATTGTAAGATTAATCAGTACAATGTTTAAACCATGCAATATCACTGTGCAGCACTTTATCACAAACTCTGAGATTAAGTAAATTGAACTAAGCGTACTTTAAATAATTGTTATCAGTCACTTTCTCTGTCAGGTAGTCTCCATGTTCTTCTGTGTCTGGCTGAACAACACAGACATTTCATTAACAGCCTGAAGTTTCAAACCAGTTGTCACACCAAACTAGGCATAACACGCATTGTTCTTCAATAATTCAAACATTACAATTCAATAAACAAAGACATGGTGCTCACGAGTCACTCATGTCTACTCTGTAAAAGACAGTTGTAGACACAGTTTGCTTGTAATTGAAAAATGTTAAACTTTCTAAGAAATAGGAAAAAATATTCTCATGTCATGCAGGAGCAGGAAGGGGACACCCATCCCATATCACTTATAGTCCATTAGAGGAAGGTCAGTTAGTTTGTATTGCTGAACTCTTCACCAAATGTTGAACAGACAATCAAGGATAATATTAGACGGCATGACCCTGAAGGTAGCAGAATAAAACCTGGTCATTATCTAAGGCCTGATTCCTATTATTGTCCCAGTTTTTGTGTTCACTTTGGCCCTCTATCTGTGCACTTAAAATTACAGAAGGCTATGTATTCGTGAGGCAGTGTGACTGAGATTTTAGATACTGTGCTCATGAGTTTGTCATGGTTTTGTCACTACCCCAGTTTTCACTTATCCTGGTGAAATTCAGGAAACTCCCTATTTTATAGACAGAGGAAATGTAAGCTGTTCCAACAAAGACATTTCAATGCAACCAAGCAAACAACATTGGTTCAAATTAGAGCCTTAAATATCTCCTATATGGGACCGCAGGGTCCATAATACAGTGACTGTGATTGGACTGCACAGGAGCACACAAACCACTTTACTGTGATGGTAATTGGACTGTATGAGAGTACAAGATCCACAATAAGATGACAGTGATTGAAATGAACCACTTTACTGTGACAATGATTAGACTGGACTGGTGAATCAGATTTACTGTAGTGAGACAGTGATAGGACTGTTTGGGATTACAAGATCCACTAAACAGTGACAGTGATTAGACTATACTGGCGTATAAGATCCATTACCCTGTGAATGGACTGTACTGGAATACAGGACTCACTGTACTGTGAGAGTGATTGGGTTGGTTTAGTTTGTAAGATCTGCTACGCTGTGATAGTGATTACTGTATTGAAATATAGGTCGCATTATATTCTGACAATGATCCACTATATTATGACATGCATTGGCATCCAGGTTCCTCTGCCGACGCAAATCCGCCCACAGCCGATGCCGCACGGCCCACCACCAACGCCGACGTCGCTCCGCCCATCGCCTCCACAACCAGCAGCTCCAGAAGAGAGAATAGCACCCAGCCCTGCCGGGTCTTCACCATCCCCCAAGACCTCCCCCTTACTGAGGACGAACGGTCAGTCCTCAGTAAAGGGCTCACCTTTGTCCCCCTCCACCGACACATCAACGAATACCGGTCACGCTTGGACGTTGAACAGTTTTTCCGCCGCCTTCGCCTCCGCGCTTACTTTTTCAACCGTGAGCCTAACCCTCCCTCTACTGACCCCTTCTCCCGCCTCCAACACACCCCCTCCTCCTGGACGCCACCCCAAGGCCTCCTACCCTCCCTCGACCTCTTCATCTCCAACTGCCGTCGAGACATCAATCGCCTCAACCTCTCCACCCCTCTCACCCACTCCAACCTCTCCCCCGCAGAACGTGCAGTCCTCTGCTCCCTCCGCTCCAGTCCCAACCTCACCATAAAACCCGTGGACAAGGGAGACGCAGTTGTAGTATGGTGCACTGACCTCTACATCGCTGAGGCCAGGCGCCAACTCTCCGACATCTCCTCCTATCGCCCTCTTGATCATGACCCCACCCCCGACCACCAAACCATCATCTCCCAAAACATCCACAACCTCATCACCTCAGGTGACCTCCCACCCACGGCCTCCAAACTCATCGTTCCCCAACCCCGCACCGCCCGCTTCTATCTCCTTCCCAAAATCCACAAACCTGACTGCCCTGGTCGACCCATTGTCTCCGCCTGCTCCTGCCCCACCGAACTTATTTCCACCTATCTCGACTCCATTTTATCCCCCTTGGTCCAGGAACTCCCTACCTACGTCCATGACACCATCCACGCCCTCCACCTCCTCCAGAACTTCCAATTCCCCGGTCCCCAACACCTCATCTTTACCATGGATGTCCAGTCCCTATACACCTGCATTCCCCATACAGATGGCCTAAAGGCCCTCCACTTCTTCCTGTCCCGTAGCCCCGGCCAGTCCCCCTCCACTGACACCCTCATCCGCTTACCTGAACTCGTCCTCACCCTCAACAACTTTTCTTTCAATTCCTCCCACTTCCTACAGACAAAGGGGGTGGCCATGGGTACCCACATGGGCCCAAGCTATGCCTGCCTCTTTGTAGGTTACGTGGAACAATCCCTCTTCCGTACCTACACTGGCCCTAAACCCCACCTCTTCCTCCGTTACATCGATGACTGTATCTGCGCCGTCTCGTGCTCCCACGAGGAGCTCGAACAGTTCATCCACTTCACCAACACCTTCCACCCCAACCTTAAGTTCACCTGGACTATCTCTGATACCTCTCTCTCCTTCCTGGACCTCTCTGTTTCCATCTCTGGCAACCACCTGGAAGCCGATATCCATTTCAAGCCTACCGACTCCCACAGTTACCTAGAATACACCTCCTCCCACCCACCTTCCTGCAAAAATGCCATCCCCTATTCCCAATTCCTTCGCCTCCGCCGCATCTGCTCCCAGGATGAGGCATTCCACTCCCGAACATCTCAGATGTCCTCGTTTTTCAAGGACCACAACTTCCCCACCTCAGTGGTCGAGAACGCCCTCGACCGTGTCTCCCGCATTTCCTGCAACTCATCCCTCACACCCCCTCCCCGCAATAACAACATGAACAGAATCCCCCTCGTCCTCACGTACCATCCCACCAACCTCCGGATCCAACGCATCATCCTCCAACACTACCGCCATCTGCAATCCGACCCCACCACCAAAGACATTTTTCCCTCCCCACCCTTATCTGCTTTCAGGAGGGACCACTCTCTCCGTGACTCCCTTGTCCACTCCACACTCCCCTCCAGCCCCACCACACCTGGCACTTTTCCCTGCAACCGCAGGAAGTGCTACACCTGCCCCTACACCTCCCTCCTCACCCCCATCCCAGGCCCCAAGAAGACTTTCCACATCAAGCAGATGTTCACCTGCACATCTGCTAATGTGGTATACTGCATCCGCTGTTCCCGTTGTGGCCTCCTCTACATCGGGGAATCCAAGTGGAGGCTTGGGGATCGCTTCGCAGAACACCTACGCTCGGTTCGCACTAAACAACTGCACCTCCCAGTTGCGAACCATTTCAACTCCCCCTCCCATTCCTCAGACAACATGTCCATCCTGGGCCTCCTGCAGTGCCACAATGATGCCACCCGAAGGTTGCAGGAACAGCAACTCATATTCCGCTTGGGAACCCTGCAGCGCAATGGTATCAATGTGGACTTCACAAGCTTCAAAATCTCCCCTCCCTCTACCGCATCCCAAAACCAGCCCAGCTCATCCCCACCTCCCTAACCTGTCCTTCCTCCCACCTATCCCCTCCTCCTACCTCAAGCCCCACCCCCATCTCCTACCTACTAACCTCATCCCACCCCCTTGACCTGTCCGTCCTCCCTGGACTGACCTATCTCCTCCCTCACTCCCCACGTACACTTAC